ATCACACAGACTTTAGAAAAAATAAAAAGTTTTACTCCTTTGAAGTTTCTTAATAAAAGCTTCACATTGGCTCGATTAGGCGCTCAATTCCAGAAAGAGAACTACAGCTCCCTGGCCTCGTGTCATAAATCTATCTTTGTCTCTTGTATTTTCTTTCACCCTGTGCCGACCCCTCTCACTCGTCACTGCCTGTGCTGCGCGGGACGTGGCACTGGTCAACAGTAGGCATTTGCTAAGGCCAAGTGTTTTCTTCAGGGCGTGTAGTTTCATGTCAGTCCTCCAGATTACAGAGACTCACACAGGTCTGGTCTGAGATTAGGGGGAAGTGGCACAAAAGGGGCCCTTTAAAAATGAGACAAAGTATGAAGAACAGAAATGGAGGTTATATAATTATGACTGATGTTTTCACCATTTCATATTTGTGTAAAATGAAACTTCTGTTTTAACTTAGATTCACTGACTTGTTGGAAAACCAAAAAAAACCTTATTGAGTGATTACAATATGTAGTTGCCATAAAAGCTATGTCAGGTGCTGTGAGTACAGAAGAGCTGCCCTCAGGAATTCTAAGAGAAGGACTTAAGGAAATAATTTGTATAGATTGGTTGTGCCTCCAAGAAGAAGAAGACACTGTCCTTTCAATGCAAAAGTCATGTTGGCTTAGAAGAAAACTAGTAAAGTTTCTTCAGGGTCTTAAATACCAAACTACGGTAATAATAACTGATTCGAAAATCTCAGCAATGGAGTAGGAACTATGAACAATGTTTAGGAATGCTCATCTATTAATAATGTATAATATTATTAAATCTATATAAAATTTAGACACATAAGAAATCATTTCAACAGCTCTTAAATAAATATCTGAAGACAATGCCTAAACTTGGATGATAGTCATGGAGATTGAAAGAAAATACTGATGTGAGGGGGTTGTGAAAGAGAAAATGACCACTATTCCACTAGGAACAGTCAGAGATAAACAAATAATCTCCTGCTAACGCAGAACTGGGGAAAAAGTTAAAAATGGTAACCATAGACTTGGGATTTACAATCTTTTAGTCTCCTTCAAGAGGCATAATATTTAAAATAGAAACTTTATTGAGATTTCAGGTATTTATATCACCATTCAAACATATGAGGACAAATTTATTGACAGTGTTTTTCAATATTTAGTTCTTTGTTCATTAGATATAACGATAAAGTCACGTTATATAATCTCCATTCATTGATTTTTAATAATGGATTTGACATTGTGGAATTTGAGAAAATATACAACTAAAACTGTTATATAGAAAAGTCACAACAAAGAGCAGTGATGGCAAGCCAATTCACATCAGAACAATAACATGCATTGTGACTCGTGAGCATTTAATATATAAAACATGAAGCACTACATGTATAAAGTTGAGAGTATAGCAGCCAATTAAATCTACCTATATTGCAAAACTCTGGGTGAGGGAGAGTATATTTCATCATCTATAGGAGTCCAACTTCATCAGATAAGCAGCAATCTCCAAAAAATATGTGCAATGACTGAAGTGCAATGACTCTAAAGTAGAATATCAAAGTGCCACATTTAGTTATGTCTTCACTTTCTTTCATTGTAAAATAGAACATATGTCTACTGGAGAAAATCATTTGATTGTAATGATCAAAACACATGCCTCAAGGAAGACTAAAAAATACTCAATACAGCACATAATTTTGTAATCATTTTACTGTAAAAGAAAATTTTTTTCTCAGTTACATGTTGAGGAATTTACTACAGTTAAATGATAGAAATCATTCAAATATGTGGGTACAGTTTGGGCATTAACTTTAATATGTCAAGAAGAGCAATTTGAAGATACAAGCAGAAACAATCTCCTAGTTAGTATTCTCCCTATACACTCTTTAGTAATAGAACCCTATATTTTTATTTGGGCACATGCCTATCTGGGATGGGGAGGTAGAAAATTATATTCCACATCCTATTGCAACCAGGCAAGGCGAGTCACTATGCTGTGGACCATGGGTGCAGACAGAAGTAATGTGGCAATTTCCAGAACACGCCCTTAGAGGCAAATGGCGTGCCCTCCATTGCCATTGGAAACCTCTTTCCTGTTATCTAGCATGCAACAATCATTGTGGATATTGGAGCAGCCATCTTGGACCACAACAAGGAACAACTATATTGAGGAGAGCAGAAAACATGAGAGAAGGATTCTGGGGCCTGGATGACTGAGAGTTACCATCTTAGATCTTGTCCCCAGAATGATACATGGGAGGAATAAACCTGTGTCTTGTTTTTGCCACTTTTACTTTAGGTCTCTCTGTAACAGCTAAACCAATACACTAATCGTAAAACATGGTTCATTTTTATTCAATGTCTAAAGGCTTACAAGAGCAAGCAATAGTATTACCATATCTAAAGCACTTTGAATTTCCCCAATAAAAAGTTTTAAGGAAGTATGAAACAAATAGGCTTTTTGTTTGTTTGTTTTCTTTTTTACAAATTCTAAAAAATTTTACATGAAATAGTCTGATTCCAGAAAACTTGACTACCTTAGTGTGATTCCAAGAATATGCAGAACTGGAATGAAATTTATGGATCACCTAGTTAACTGTAGCTTGCCTTAGATGAGAGAAAAACAGTTTGAATTTAAATAGGTTTTAATGCCCTATTAGCAACTACAACTTTAGGGCTTAAGGTGTGGCATGAATCAATATCTCTAATTCCTAGTCAAATGCTCTCTCCACTACACTCTTTGTCAATTAGTCTGGCACTGTTATTATTTACATATAAAAAATGGAAAGAATTTATCTAAATGATGAATATCATTTTTAAGTTTTAAATTTAAAAGTTAATATTTTGCTCTTTATAGGGTTTTTATTTAATTTGCTAGAGCTCAACTCATGGCCTGAAAAAGAGAATGCATCCTTTTTTTGACGTTATTTATAACCCACAGTAACATTGTTGACTTTTTGGGATGCAAGAAGGCAAAAACCAGGGCAATTTCAATAGGTTCACTTATATTAATTTATTTCTGTACTATAGAGTTTTATTTGAATATATGAATAAATGTCTGTGTAGGCAAATCATGTAACCATAATATTGAATATAACTCTAGTGTTACAAGTACATAATCTGTGTGTACCTTTCCACTTATAATGGACATACTTGTATAAGCTAACTTTGCACTATAGTGATTAAAAGTGAGGTGCTACTCATTAAACAGTCATATCTACAGTAGGATATATAATTGTTAAAATTTTAAAGAATACTGGATATTTCTATGCAAAATAAGTGATTACCTTCTACTTAATAAGCAAACCTGACTTAAGTGAATAAAACTCCTGTACTTGATATTAAAAATGTAATTCATTTCAATAGTTTAGAGAAAGTACATATACACAAGCAAAATTGGTATCATTGTCTCTAGGCAATGCTTGATTGGACGATTAGACCACAGCATGCTATTCCATCCACCTTACTTATTATAAAATCATTGTCATATTTCTACAAACCGAAAGGTTAATAAAAGTTTCAACTGGTGTACCACCAAGAAGGTTGATGAAGATCTGGCATATATTTTTAAATCACCATATAATTTTCAAATATCAAATACCAATCTAGTTAAAACTAAAGAACATCTTTCCAAAATAATATTAATTCTGAAACCAGTCAATAAACTTAAAACATCTAGTGTTGGCTGTTAATAAGCCTCCTACAGGATTAAAATGGCATATATACTTATCATAAGAGAATGGTTAGCACTAGCAAAACACCTTTGTCGAGAGAAAACAATACTGTTTAACACAATCCTAGTTCTTCAATAAACTATGGTATTCAGCAATAGTAATAGTAGTAGTAGTATTACTAGTAATAGTATTAGTAGTAGCAGTAGCATTACTAGTAATAGTAGTAATAGTGGTAGTAGTGATAGTGGTAGTGGTCATGGTGGTGGTGGTGGTATTTGGGGAAGTGTGGCATTTTAATCAAATTGCATTTATTGTTTTTTGTTTGTTTGTTTGTTTGTTTTTTCCCTGAAAACCAGCTCTACTTGTTTTTATATTTTTTTCACTTTTCCTGTATATAGCTGGAAGAAAATTCAATACAATAATATAGGAATATATATTTTTTGATTCAGACAAAAGTGTATGACAAACAATAATTATAGCATATTGGTTTGACTTGTTCACTGATATATCCTAAGCTTTTAGAAGAATACTTAAAATATAGAAGACACTCAAAAAATATGTTTGGATAAATAAATAAGTGTATGTAAATAGTTGTATTTCCTGACAAAAAAAATAAATAGGATAATTTAAAACAACTTATGTATAAATTTTATTTTATAATTTTGCAAATGTTTCAATGATAAACGTTTCAGTAATAAAAAGGTCTCCCTAATTTGTCCAAATGTGGTGATACTGAAGTAAATTATTTGTGTTAAAATAATCCATGTTCTAAAGCTACTTGAATATGCACATTAGAGGCATTCATTTTAAAAGGCATAGTAAGCACCTACTATGCTTCAGAGATTGAACAGGCAGGGCCAGTTGTTGCACAGCTTCCAGGATGTCATTCATATTGTAGTTGAAATGAGTGCTTCCCCTGGTGTGTGCAGTTTAGGCCAGAGTAGACACACCTAGTGACCCTGGTGACATGAGCCAGGATACAGAGATGGATGGGATTCCATCTCTGTCTTCAGTGACACTAATCAGAGTGCTAGAGTCAGCGCCTGGACTGAGCAAGATACAGATAGAGTCAGCACATGGACTGAGGGCTGGAGTTCAGATCCAGGGAAACACAGGGCATTTCTACTTAAAAAGATGCCAATGACAAGTTGTTAAAGATCACAGAAGCACCAAATTCATCATCGCCTTGTTGTGTCTAACTACTATTCTTCTTATGCTATCAAACATTTTCTGGAATACTAACCCTGCTAGGTCAGCGTGTTCTGTAAAAGCAATCATCCTAGGATAATTAACTTGAAATTTGTGTAAAACGTTTAATACTCACATCCAGATCATCTTTAGCATTGTAGTAGACAACTTCATTGCTCTATAAAAAGAGAAAAGAAGAATGCTTTATTGATTTAAGGAAAAACATAAAAATATACTGAATGAAGCATTGAATACATTTTATTCATATTTTAAATAATAAACCCCTCATAAAATTTCATTTCTTTCATAGTATATTCCACAAAGATCCATAAAGATTAGCCAATATTTTCTAAGAACATATTAAAACACTATATTAGTAATATTTAAAATCACAACTTGCATTTAGGAAAAAGATCTCAGTATAAGTTTAAGATCAATTTGTCAAAAAATAAAAAAATTCATAAAGCTAATAAGTTATATATATATATATATACAAACATACCCAAACACACACACACACACACACACACACACACACACACACTACAGACACATACGCCTCTAAACCATGAAATGATAAACAAGATAATTCAAGAAAAATCTAAGATAAGTGGCTTGTTAATACTTTGCTGAAACTATGACTTTAAAAAATATATATCGGTGTTGAACTATTCTTGAAGAAAGCTGTGTATCTGCACAGTATTGGCAGAAATTTCTTCATGAGATTCAGATAAGGCATAAAAAATAACTGTGAATGTAGATAGCAAAAAAAAAAAAATCAGATAACCTAACACAGTAATATTCTCATGTTCTACTAAAGTGGTGGATGAGTGTTGACTCTTCAAGAATAAATGTACAAGGACATTTCTGCTAGCCATCAATGTTGCTGAAATATGTCATAAATACACATTATGGACATAAATTGTGTTATAGAGGGAAAATGAAATGGAAAGATTGAATAAAACGATTTTCAAGGAATTTAAAATTCATTTTCTTTGTGTCTTTGAGGTTAGATCTATGCAACGTAAAAATATTCCACTTATACTGATTGCTTTTTCCTTTCTTCTCCTGAAGTGATTGAAAATATAGTTCAATTTCTGTATGTCCTCAGTAGTAACATGAGCACTTTGTAAAAAAATGTGTTTTCTGTGTCTCTTAATTATCTACAAATATGGATACTCTAAAATTGTATTAAAAGAAAACACAATACACCAAAAAAGTAAGTGAATAAAGGAAATTACTTGGGAAAAATAGACTTGATTAATGCTTCTTAAAGTACATCTCCCCCCAGAAAGCACTAGTTCTTCAAGATGTAATAATCATGGGCCAAACATAGGTCATGACTTTAGAATAAACCATAAAGTTAAAATTGTCTCTTTTTGGCTGGACTTCCCAGAGCCTCAGTGTATGAATGTATATTATAAATCTTCACAACGAATTTCTTGTTTTGTTTCCAAGATTTATGTTTCACAGAATCTGCCTCCTTTTTTGATTTGAGAAACGTACTATGAGACTGAAAATCTACAAAACATAGGTCTCTCTGAAGACCAAACAATCAAACCAGAAACTGTATACATAAATATAAAAACATATGATTCATAAGACTGAATGAAACTCATGAGTTTGAATTTATGTCATATAGAGCTAATAAAACTTTTAAAATTACAATTTAATGATTTGTTAAAAGAACTAAGTAGCTAGTGAATTGTAACCTGCATATAAGTTCTAATTCCTGAACGTTTCTTATAGTGTTAGTTTTGCAACAAAGTTAGAATACAAAATCAGAACTCATCATATACACAATGCAAGACAATCTTTTAAATCCACCTGAGACCCAAATCTAATTAGTAGTTTATTGATCCTTCATGCAACCCTGTAATTTATACTTAGGAAACACTTTTCAATTTAGAATGTGGATTCCATCAACAGTTAAGACACTAAGTTTATCTTCATTTCAGACTTCATTTCTACCAACTGCTTGCTTATATTTACAGAATTGAAATGTGTTGAAAACGAGGTGAAACTGCATTAAATTCCAAGCAGTTCAGCAGCATCATTTTTAATATTCATTAAATACCTGTATGTACATACTGCTGTGTTAAGGGAGACACAAAATATGGTAAACATATCTACCCCTATACCTTAGGTAAAATAACAGGGACAGATCAATTATATAAAACCACTCAAATGTCTAGGATGACACTTGGTGCATAGTGCTTGAGCTAATGAGCTTAACTGATTAGTCAACTCTTTTCTTATGTGTCACACATGGTCACATACAACAAATGAAGGTTATTTATTAAAGCTAAGATTAAGAGTAACACATACAGTGCTAGAAGACGGTAAAGTATGATAAAGAAATGCTAGTTGTAACTCAAACTAAATATTTTGATTCTATTAAGATAAACTGTGCTGAAAATTTAAATTAAAATGTAGAAATTCTAAGCTTATTTAAGAATTTCCAAGTGTTTTCCCTTCATCATTGTACTACATTTTCTACAAAACCTTACTATTTACCTCTCATTTTAGAAGCTTTATATTGTATTGTTTCTAAAACTTCTATTGAAAATGTATATTGCAAAGTTTTATTTAAATTTTGTACATTTGCACATGGCATTTTGGACTTTGAAATACATATAATTATAAAAACTGGCTTTTTTCTTTCATGTAAACTGAAAAAAAAATTAGTCATAAAATCGTACTGCATGTCAAACATCCATACTCCTTGTAACTGGGTATTTTATATTTCCACTTTTAAAAAGCTCTTTTTATTTATATACAATGTTCATTTCTTACGTGGTCAATATATAAATGCAAAGGAAAACCAAGGTGTGACTTTTTATAGAAAAACAACAAAACATGTAGCATTTCATCAAATACATGTGCTTAGACAGGACGTCATACTTTAATAAGAAAACACAGACCTTAGTGGAATGTACAATTGATTACATCCACTGCCCTACAGCAAAATTTCTTCCCTGATAAATGTGATGTTGCTTTTGGCTTAGGAACATTTTTTTGAATCTCATTTTTATAATTATTCTTTCTTTTCTCAAACCTCTAAATTTGCATTGATAGCCTGTACATTTCATTATTCCTTAATTTCACCTAACCGGAAAGCTCAATAGATCAATTTTAGTAAGGATAAATCTACGTAAGGCATCGGGATTTGGGAAAACTGTAATTTTGTATTTAACCTGCTAACCCAGTCCATCTACATGGCAGCATGACAGTAAAACAAATGGCAAACATTTGTGGGGTATTGAATTTACATAAAAATATTTTTCCAGTCTCAGTTCATTATACTTTAAGGAAAATGGCAGTTATTTGCTTTACTGCAGCTTTTATTTAGATAGTTTCAGAATTATTTGTCTTAGAAATAATTTTAAATGTAAGTTTGAGAAAAATCATAATTTGGTGAAATTTTAATTCTTTCCTTTCATAGCTGTCATTCATAGCTGTCTTCTCGGCTATATAAAAATTTATAATAGTTCTGCTATATAAGAGTATACATTAAGACATGTGGAGTTTCGTTAAACAAAATCAATCTAAAATCAAATGACTCAATTCACTAAATCACCAAACTATATCAGTACCAATCTTAACAGGATTGGGATAAAAGACAATTTTCAGGAATAAAGGACAATTCACACTGAATCAGCCCAACTTCTATGTTCTGATGTTTCTTTGGGGATGAATTTTGGTTAAAGTGAATTCTGTGTTAAAGAAAATTAGGAGATAAATTGTATAAAGACGGTTAAATGGCCTGAGGGGATAGACGTAAAGAAGTGAAGGTATCAGCCGAATTCCTTTTCCCTGTGGAGATTTTGGGGTCTGATGATCAAGAAAGGGAGACAGATCCCACTCATTCTACAAACGTTTTGAAGACTTTAGTGTGTACTAAGTGTTGGAGAAACAAAGATGAAGACTATCTACACCCTGACTATAAGAATCAAGTTCTCACCTTCCAATTCACATGTGGCAAGAACTTGAGGAAGCTGACACAGCAGATGTGATCGGCTAAAAATGGAGAATTTCTCTTATTATCTTTGAACAGCATGACCGCATTAACCAAAGCTGCTCCAGGTTTCAAAATCGGTGAAAATGGAGAAATTCAGATAATTGTGAAATTCTCCCTTTTTTGATCGGTTCAAGCATGTGTGTTTGCAAATGTGTGTGTGTGTGTGTGTGTGTGTGTGTGTGTGTGTTTCTTAATCATTTCCCTATTCTATTGGGTTGTCGGAAAAGTCATGATGCATGTTTGTGACGATGGCACTAGTTCATTTTTGGAAGTACTAGAGTCATTCGCATCTATGTTATTGCTATGTCATTTGACAGCTGACAGTTCTAGCTTCATTCTAAAA